CAACAGGTCGAGGCTGCGGTGGCCATGAGCGTGCCACTGCACTCCAGCCTGGGTGACAGAATAAGACTCCAACTTAAACATAATAATAATAATAATTACTTGAATTAATTGCTTTCCATCATTTTACAGAATGAGCGCCAAAGGAGCTCCAAAACTCTGATTTAGTTTTGATAAGGGAGGAGAGGAGATATAGAAAAGGAAACTTCTGGAAGGGACAGTGGATGTGAGGCCTCAGCAACTCTTGGCAATAGGAGTGGGGCAGGATGAGAGCTTAGAAGAGGAAGAAAGAAGCACTCCCAGGCAGAAGACTGGATTCAGCTTGGCCTATTTCATATGTATTCTGAGGGCTGGCTATGCTATAGGTATGCTATAATCATGGTATGAGTATGATATAGGTGTACTTTGTGTGTGTGTATGTGTAATACATATGCTGCAGACAGTTACATTGTACCCTATATATAACCATACTTGTATGCATATGTATATGTGTATATGAGCATGCATTTGGCTTTTATTTCTAAAGATTGCCTGGGGTTCTGTCAGTGACAGCCAGTGCTCTAACAATTAACACCCTGGTATTTCAGTAATAGGAGATTATGTTCTCATGACCTGGGCTAATGAGTACCTATGTATGTATAAATGTGCATGTACATGTGAGTATATTAATATACTCATGAGTATGTATATGAGAATGCATATATATGTGTGATTTCTTCCCAGAAATATGCCAGGCAAACATTCGGAAGAAGAAAAGAGGTCTAGCTATATTATTATCACACAAATAGAAACCAAATAAGCCAAGTGCGGTGGCTCACACCTGTAATCCCAGCACTCTGGGAAGCAGAGGTAAGAGGATTACCTGAGTTCAGGAATTTGAGACCAGCCTGAGCAACATGGTGAGACCCCATCTTTACAATAAATCAAAAAATCAGCTGGACGTGGCACCACATGCCTGTGGTTCCAGCTACTTGGAAGGCTGAGGTAGAAGGATTCCTGAGCAAGTTGAGACTGCAGTGGCTGTGAGCGTGACACTGCACTCCAGCCTGGGCAACAGAGTGAGACTCCAACTCAAAAAAAAAAGAAAGAAAATAAATAAATAACACATTTATTGACATTAAATGACAAAGTGAAATAGCTTATATAATAGACACAAACTTTTATGTACCTACCAACATGGCTTTGAAATCTTATTTTATTTTATTTTGTTTTTATTCTTACTTTTTGAGTTGGCATCTCACTGTGTCACCCAGGCTGGAGTGCAGTGGTACGCTCACAGCCACCACAGCCTCCACTTGCTGGGCTCAGGCGATCCTTCTGCCTCAACCTTCCAAGTAGCTAGAACCACAGGCATGCACCACCACACCCAGCTAATTTTCGTATTTATTGTGAAGACGAGGTATTGTCAAGTTGCCCAGGCTGATCTCGAACCCCTGGGCTCAGGCAATCCTCTCGCCTCTGCCTCCCAAAATGCTGGGATTACAGGTGTGCACCACTGAGCCCAACTGGCTTTGACATGTTAAATGAGAGAAAAAGTTCTGAGACAAGCTTAAGAAAAAATGGGCAAGTACACATTTGTTATGATCAATTGTCATGAAAAGCAGCAGTTGCTTCCCATGGCAGACGGGCCAGGGTCCCCTCTGTGGCTGAGTGACTGAGCAGAGGTAACCCTTTTCCCTTCTCTTCCAGGTGACTTGCACATCAAGAAACCTCTAGTAACTACCAAATATGGGACCCTCCGTGGAAAAAAGATACACGTGGGGAAGACTCCCATCCATGCTTTCCTGGGAGTCCCCTTTTCCAGACCTCCTCTTGGTGCCCTCAGGTTTGCTCCCCCAGAACCCCCGGAGTCCTGGAAAGGAATCAGAGATGCTACCACCTACCCCCCTTCGTAAGAGCCAGAGGACTGTCAGCTGGGAGGTGGGCAGAACCTGAGGGGGTAGGGGATGCATACCTGCCTCTGGGTGAGGCTTTGAACAACTTACTGAGAAGAGCTCACTGTGTGTTTGCAGGCAGGTCTGGGACCTGTTCTGGGCCTCAGTTTCCAAACCTATATAATGAGCTGATTGGTCCAGATAGTGTTTAAGGCACTGACAATCCCTTGGTTTCTCACGGGTCAGCTCCAGGCAAGGGGGAAGTTGTCACTACTGTGCCCCAGGATGTGCTGATGAGCTGAGTTTTCCTAAATATGTCTGAGAAGCAGTTCTTACTCACATCCCACTCCCCTAAACAGCCCTGAGCTCTTCCTTCTCTCTTGGGGCTTGAGCCCAAGATCAAACCCCATGGTACCACCAGTCCTTTCCTGAAGAGGGAGCTCCACGAAGGGAAATGTACAGCTCAGTCTCAGTTTTCAAGTATTGGCGTCACCACAGCCAGGTTCAAGCCCTGAGTCACACAAACATGACTGGGACAATGCCTGCCCTTTGAAGCCACTGGGCTTGGCAGTTTACCCAGAACAAGTGTATTTACTGTTTATTCAGATCATTGAGTAATCCACTTGTCCAGAACATTCTGTGGTAATCATTAACAATGCTCAGCATCAATTGGTTAGAGCACAGGGTTTTAAAAATGTCTGCTTTGGAACTCGAGTGTCAGCTGATATAAAAAACTACAACTACCACCCTGGGCGTCTAGTTGTTAAAAACAGGTTGTCCATTGCTAGACCATGACCTCCTGTTACTAGTACCAGAGTGTTAATTGTTAGAACACTGGCTACCACTGAGAGAACCCCAGACATTCTGAACATTGTGTGAATGTTATTTAAAATCCCAAGGATCAGGTGACAGAACATGGGATGACCATTGTTAAAACCCTGGGTATCAGGGGTTTAGAGGTTAGAGTGTCATTGTGTAGAAGTCTGGGTGTCAGTTGTTGGAACACCGGCCATGAGCTTTCAGAACAATGGCTGTTTAGAACACAGAGTATTCAGAGTAAGAATTTAGCCTGTGGAGTGGTGGTGAGAGAGGGAGCAGCCAGAGAGAAGGCTGTTGCAGAGATGGTGATTTCCACAAGGGTAGTTACAGTAGAGATGGTAGGAAGTGGTCGGAGTCCAAATTTATTTTGAAGGTAAAGTTGATAGGATTTTCTGGAGAGTTGGATGTGAGCCACAAGAGAAGAAGAATCACAGATAATTGATAATGACTAAGTTTTGGCCAGAGCAAACAAGGGAGCAGGGTACCATTTAGGGAAATAGTGAAGACTTGCTGACAGATGTCCATGTGGATAGGTGGGGTTGGTAGCTGGATAAAGGGGACTGGAGGCAAACTGGTCATCAACATGTCAATGGTATGAAGTCGTGGGCCTGGATGAGAACAATTTGGGAGAGAGAATAGAATAAAATGAACTGAGGGTTGAGGTCTGGACACTCTCATGCTTAGACCTGGAGAGGAGGAGGAGCCACCAATGATGAGGCAGAAGAATCAGGAGAGCAGGGTACTACAGAACCCTAGAGAAGGGATGATGTTCAAGAGGGGAGATATGGTCAACCACATTGAGAGATGCCGGGGCAAGTAAGACAATGACAGAGATTTGGCAAGGTGGAGGTCATTGGCAACTATGGCAAGAATGGCTTTCGTGGTGGGATGGAGACAGAAGCCTCAGCTGTTCATAACCCCAGTTCTTGGCTATAAAAGCCCTGGCTTTCCTGGTAAGATGCTAGATGTGGCTTATTAGACAGCATTCTGACTGGGCACGGTGGCTCATGCCTATAATTCCAGTACTTTGGGAGACCAAGGTAAGAGGATAGCGTGAGCCCAGCAGGTCGAGGCTGCAGTGGCTGTGAGCTTGACACTGCACTCCAGTCTTGGCAACAGAGTGAGACTCCTACTCAAAGAAGAAAAAAAAAAGCACTCTAATATCAACATTGGCTTCTGCCAAGAAGTCAAGCAAGGAAGACCAAAAACAACCTGTAAAAATAGAGATGAGCAGCCTGCTGGTGACCTTGGAGAGGCTAGGTTGGGGTAGGGAGACAGAGAATCTGTTGAAAAGTTTGGCCTGAGGGAAAAGCGATAGGATAGTTGCTAAGGAAGGTGGGTGGGAGAGGATAGGTTCGGATCAAGGCGGGTTGAAATGCTGTTGGGAAGTACTGATGAAAGGGAGCAGGTGATGTTCTAGAACAGGCTGGGACATGAGAAGAAGACAGCACAGGAACAGGCAGACATGGTTTCCTGCACCCAACTAAATGGTCCAGGCCCAAGTGTTACAAAAATAGCCACTCTAGGAGTTGGGCCAGCCAGGAGAAAAGGTGACATGGCCGGACAGTCCACACTCCATAGATACCCCTAAATATCCACACTTTAAAAGGCACTGGGTTGGTGCCAGGACCCAGATGAATCCACCTCCATCCCTACCCTTGGGGAGTACATGGTCATTTGAGGGAGAAAAGCAACCAGCTGAAAGGACTCCAACCAGTACTAGTAAACAGTGGATAGAGCTTTGGGCGGCACACAGGGAGAAGTGACCCACAGTCAGCGCACCATTTGAGCTGGGCCTTTAACCTAAGTAGGAGTTTGCTGGGCAGAGAGATGGCATTTGGCTGAGGACAGAGGCACAGGGGCTGGAAATGGGAAACAAGGGGCCATATTTATTTGGAGTAAAGGGTGGCTGAGAAGGAGACGACTATGTGGCAAAGAGGGCCTGGGTCAGTGTGGATGAATGAATTTCATCCCGAGGGCACTGAGGAGTCAGGAAAGGTTTTTGTTTGCTTTTATTGATGTATCATGGTTGTACATATTAGAGAAGGTTTTAAGAGGGGGAGTTACATGGTCGGCCAGAGTGTGAAGGACGAACTGGAGAAGAATGTGAAGAGACGTCCAGACAAGAGACGGCAATGGTCTTGACAGAGGACAGTCCTGGGATGGAGGGGAGGCACCATGCTCTAGAGCTGTTTGAGAGATAGAAGGGAGACTGAGGGGAACTGAGCTTGAAAGACAGGGAGGTTCCCAGGCACACAGGTTTCTGCCTTGACAGCACCAATAGGGTCTCCAACAGGAGCAGGGAATCTCTCCCCAGGCAAACCCATGAGTCAAGGTTTTTGGGGAGACCAACCTGTCTCCCAATCCTGGCCTCTAAGGCTGGTAAGAGGTCTCTGTCACAGACACACATATGCACAGAGGCTGCCTGGATTTTGCTTTTGGTTCTACCCCTTCACTGCGGATCCTGGGTTTTTTGTTTTTGAGTCGGAGTCTCACTCTGTCACCCAGACTAGAGTGCAGCGGCACACTCACTGCCACTGCAGCCTTGACCTGCTGGGCTCAGGCAATCCTTCTGCCTCAGCCTTCCAAGTAGCTGAAACTACAGGCACGTACCACAATGCCCGTCTAATTTTTTTGATTTATTGTAGAGATGAGGACTCGCCAAGTTGTCCAGGTTGGTCTTGAACCCGTGGACTGAGGCAATCCTCTCACCTTGGTCTCTCAAAGTGCTGGGATTATAAGTGTGAGCCACCGCGCCTAGCCTTCCCTCCCCCTTTCAAGTAACTGGAACTATAGGTGCACATCACCACGCCCAGTTAATTTTTTAGATTTATTGTAGAGATGAGGTCTTGCCATGTGGTTCAGGCAATCCTCTCGCCTCCGCCTCCCAAGGTACTGGGATTACAGGCTGCAATAAATAAATTAGCTGGATGTGGTGGCGCAAGTCTGTAGTTCCAGCTACTTGGAAGGCTGAGGGGGAAGGATTGCCTGAGCCTAGCAGGTCGAGGCTGCGGTGGTCGTGAGCATGCCACGGCACTCCAGCCTGGGCGACAGGGTGAGACTCTGACTCAAAAAAGAAAGAAACTATTCTTTCCCACTGCCACTGTCGGCGGGCCCCAACACACACTGTGCCGGCAGGTGCCTTCAGGAGTCCTGGGGGCAGACAGCCTCCATGTACTTAAACACGCAGAAACAGTACAAGTGGCTGCACTTCAGTGAGGACTGTCTGTACCTGAACGTGCACGCGCCAGAGCACGCGCCTGGGGACGCTCTGCTGCCGGTGAGTACTTGGCCTTCAACCACCCACGGTTCCACCCTCCGCCCCGCTCAGGCCCCGGCCTTCCTCGCCCAGGTGATGGTCTGGTTCCCAGGAGGCGCCTTCCTCGTTGGCTCCGCTTCCACTTACGACGGCTCCGAGCTGGCGGCCCGCGAGAAAGTGGTGGTGGTGCTCCTGCAGCACAGGCTCGGCATCCTGGGCTTCCTGAGGTGGGCGGGACCGAGGCCAGGGGCGGGGCCTGCTCCAGACAGCAGCTCAGGGCGGGGACTGGGTGGAAGGAGAGGGGCGTGGTCTGTGGGGAGGGATCGCGTGGCAGGGGCGGGGCCTGGTGCCCGGTGGAAAGGCGGGCGCTCGGTACCTTCTCAATGGGGCGGGCCTAGCTAGCTCTAAGGAAGGAGGTGTGGTCGCAGGACGGGGTCTCCTAGGGGCACTGCTGAGCAGCATGGGGACCCTATGCACCCTGATTGTCGAACGCGGGACCCTGACTGTGAACCCCGCGCGCCCAGCACGGGTGACAGCCACGCCCGTGGGAACTGGGCGCTCCTGGACCAAGTGGCGGCTCTGCGCTGGGTGCAAGAGAACATCGTGGCATTTGGGGGAGACCCAGGCTGTGTGACCATGTTCGGCCAGTCAGCGGGTGGCATGAGCGTCTCAGGGCTGGTGAGTGCAATCCCCAGATGGACCCAGTATAGACGCAGCCCCGCGTGTTTCCACAAGAGTACCCTCTACTGTTCAGACATATGTGCAGATTTGCATGCACATGAACATGCCTGTCATAGGCATGCCCTCACCCCTTCCGAGGGTCCTGCCTCTCACAGCCAAGAGTGTCTGCTCTGTTCAGGAAAAGCACTGATAAGAAAACCCCAGGAAGGGCAATGCTGAAGCTTGGGATAATCAGCGAATCCCTGGCAGATGCCCAGCACCTCCTGCTCCTCACCTTCCCCCAGAGCTCTATCCCCTGAACAGAGCCCACCATCTGGGCAGGGCTGAGGTCATACACCAGACCTGGAAACCAAGGGCCTAAGATGGAGACAGGGCTTTGCCCCTGACTCCTGAATGACTGCTGGCCTGGCAAGTGCCTGGAATGTGGATATAAGGTAAGGTGCCCTGTGAGGGACACATGGCTGGGAAGTGAACACAGCACACGGGGACTTGCTGGTCACATTAATAATAATATTCAACATCTGAGCACTTTCTGTGTGCCAGGCACTCTTCTAAGCACCTTATATATATTCACTCATTTAATTCCCTCAATAGTCCAAAAAGAAAAGTATTGTTGTTGTTGTTCCCATTCTATAGATGAAGAAACTGAGGCCTAGAGAAGGTAAGCAACTTTATCCAACATATTCTAGAAAGCAGGAAAATATTTTAAGGAGGAAAGTGATACAATCAGAGGTGTATTTTTTTTTTAATGGGAGTCTCACTCCATCGCCCTGGCTGTAGTGCAGTGGCACACTCACAGCCACCCCAGTGTCGACCTGCTGGGATCCGGTGATCCTTCTGCCTCAGCCTTCCAAGTAGCTGGAACTACAGGCATGTGCTACCATGCCCGGCTAACAGGTGTATTTAAAGAGATGGTTCAGTCTGCTGCATGGGAATTGGTTAGTAAGAAGCAAGAACAGGTACTTGGAGAGCAACTGGGGAAGGGAAGGTAGGTTATATCCCAGAAGAGATCATCCGGGCTGATTCTAAAATAGAGCCAGGAAGACAGAGAATAGAGGATGGCTTAGAGTCACAAAGGAGGTCAAATGGACAGGACTAGGGCAGATGGGGTTTGGAAATAAGCAGAGAAACTAGGGAAGGCCCCTGGGGCTGAGTGGATGGTGTGGGGTGAGAGATGCCACCCAGATGAGGATTGACCGGAGCAGATTTGGGGCACATGAAGTCTAGGGTATGTAGGGTATGTAATGGGAAGCCCAGGATGCACTTGTTCCCCCAAATTTGGGCAATGGAGAAAGGATAAGAGCTGTCAGCACAGGTAACTGGGGCTGAGAGAAGCATGAAGTCTCTCCCACCTCCCTTCCTTTCTAACCCAAAAGCAAAGAGAGACCCCTTCCCTACACCAGCAGATCCCCTTCCACAATCTCAGATCCCCTCTGGAACCATGGGACCTACTGCACAAACCAGAGGCAGGAAGGCCCTGGCTTTAGGTCTAGAATACCAACCCAGGATCCCTGACTCCCTCCTGGCTGCTTGTCCTTCCTGGGTTCCCTCAACTGCCCAGCCATGGTCAGACAGTGGCTCTATTTGGGCATCTGATGGGTGCCCTGCTCTCTACCCTTACAGATAATGTCACCCCTAGCCCGGGGTCTCTTCCATCGGGCTATTTCTCAGAGTGGCACTGCAACATTCAAAAGCTTCATCACTCCAGACCCACTGAAGGTGGCCAAGGTAGGTGCTTCTCCTCCTCCAGGGCTCAGCAAGGAGGTTCAGGATGAAAGCACCCCAAAACACCCCTTTTTCTCTTTATAGAAGATCGCCCACCTGGCTGGCTGCAACCACAACAGCACATGGATCCTGGTAGACTGCCTGAGGGCGCTATCAGGGACTGAGGTGATGCAAGTGTCCAAGAAGATGGTAGGTAGAACATTCCAGCTGCCCAACTTGGCTGCCTGCCAGGGAACCCTCCTATCCTTGTGCCCAGCCATCCTCAACTACTTCTCCAGGGACCCTGTTGCAGGAACCCACTGGGAAGACTTTTTTTTTTTTGAGTTGGAGTCTCATTCTGTCACCCAGGCTGGAGGGCAGTAGCATGCTTCCAGCCACTGTAGCCTCGAACTGCTGGGCTCAGGTGATCTTTCAGCCTCAGCCTTCCAAATAGCTGGAACTACAAGCACACACCATACTGCCCGGCTAATTTTTTGATTTATTGTAGAGATAAGGTCTTGCCAAGATGCCCAGGCTGGTCTTGAACCCATGGGCTTAGGCCATCCTCTCACCTCAGCCTCCCAAAGTGCTGGGATTACAGGCATGAGCCACCGTGCCCAGCCAAGACTTCTTTTAACTCTGCTCCCCTCCTCTTCCCCACAGAGATTCTTCCAACTGAGCACCCAGGAAGACCCTCAAGAGGTGAGTAGACTACATTCTGCAATCTGGGTATTTATTGAACACCTATTGTGTGCCGGGCACTCAAGATACTCAGGAAACTGTTCAGGCCAAGATCCCTTCCCTAGTAGAACTGATGTTCCAGAGGGGAGAGACAATAAATTCTATAGACAAGTAAATTATTCACCTCCTTAGAAGTTTATGAGTGAATAGCAACAAATAGAGAAGGTAAGGGGGTCAGTATGCTGGAAGGGGTAGAATTTATTTACTTATTTATTTATGGGTAGAATTTTAAATGGAATGAATAGGTTAGGACTCATTGAAGGGACATTTAGCAAAGACCATCAAGAGATGAGAGCATGAGCTATGTGGATACCTGAGGTGTTTGCCCAAGTCTAAGTAGCCTGGTCCTGCCTGTCCTGGTCCCCTCCCACATCCACCCTTCCAGGGGTCACCATGGCCAGCTCCAGCTTTTACCCAATTAAAGAGCCTAGGCTAGAGCAGTGTGTCTGGAGAGGGACCTATTGAGCTGGGTATTCAAGGCCACAGGGAGTCTGGGAGGTTATGTGGGAGGACTGGCTGGAAATGCCCTTGCCTTGTAGATTACATGGTTCATGGGCCCTGTGGTGGACGGTGTGGTGTTCCCAGATGATCCTGTGGTGCTCCTGAAAAGGGGGCAGGTTTCACCTGTGCCCTACCTTCTGGGTGTCAACAATCTGGAGTTCAATTGGCTCTTGCCATATGTGAGTGAGTAGTAGGGGGGCTCACCATAGTGGAGGTAGCAGGGGATGCCTCTTGGGCAGTGCTGGGCACCAGGTCAATACCAGTAGACCCTCTGAGGATTGTAGGCTTGGGATCCTCCTGTAGTTCCTGTGCAGTGAGAGAACTGGCCAGGAATAATAGAAGGGAGAAAGGGGAAGGTATGGTCTGTTAGGGGTTTCTCAGATCACAGTTTAGATGGGTTATGACGTCCATTCCCAGGTCTCCAGGCAACTGCAAATCCTGGGGCCCTCCCTTGCTCCCAGGTCTGGGTGAATGCCCCAGCTCAGGATGAACCCCTCTCCCCAGTCCCACTTCAACTCTGACCCAGGAAGCAGTGATAAACAGGATGGGAACAGGACAGGAGAGGGTCATGGGCCCTTCCTGGCCTGTGTGCACTGTCTGAAATCTCACCAATTAGATGAGCATGACCCTTGGGGCCTGTTGTAGCTCTGACCAGAATCCCTCCCAAAGCTCAGGCCTGACCCATACCTGGTTCTTGAGAACAGATCATGAAGTTCCCGCTAAACCGATACATGATGACCAAAAAAATCATCACCAGGATACTCTGGAGTTCCAGGACCCTCTTGGTGAGAAGCCTTGCTGGCAGGGGTGCTCAGTTTGGACAAGGCTGACCCCTTTTCTTAACCAGTAGCTGTTCTTTGCAAGGGGCTTTCAGCAGGGTAGGGGAATCTTTTTTATGGGGCCTGGGGTTTGACATGGGATCAGATAGTTGCCTGTGGGCAGGGTCCTCCAGGCATCCTCAGGGTCATGGGAGGCAGTTATGCAGCACAATCAGGGGTGAGAATCAGCAGAGGGCCGGGCATGGTGGTTCAAGCCTGTAATCCCAGCACTTTGGGGGCAGAGATGACAGAATTGCCTGAGCCCAGGGGTTCAAGTCCAGCCTGGGCAACTTGGTGAGACCTTGTCTTTACAACAAAATAAAAAAATTATCTGGGTATGGTGGCACATACCTGTAGTTCCAGCTACATGGAAGGCTGAGGTGGAAGGATCGCCTGAGCCCAGCAGGTTGATGCTGGGGTGGCCATGAGTGTGCCACTGCATTCCAGCCTAGGAGACAGAGTGAGACTCCAACTCAAAAAAAAAAAAAAGAATCAGCAGAAAGGGAGACCTTCCCAGGAAGCTCTCTTTTGCCCCCTCCCTCAGGCCAAAAACTCATAGGGAGCTGGGCCTGGATCCAAGTCACTGGTGGACCCACCTCTGGCCCAGCTGGTACCCAGGCCTCAGGATAGGTATGGCCTCCCCACCCAGAATGTCACCAAGGAACAGCTACCACTTGTGATGGAGGAATACCTGAGTGACATCAATGAGCATGATTGGAAGATGTTACGAAATCGTGTAATGGACATAGCTGAAGACAGCACCTTTGTGTACTCCACGCTGCAGGCCGCCCGCTACCACCGAGGTATGTGAGGTCCCCAGGAGTGGCCACACTGGACTCATCCACTCTCCAGCTGTGCTGATTACCAACTGCTCACCTACCTTCTCTGGACTTCTGGGCTGGTATAGGATTCCAGGATGTCACAGAGAGAGGACACAGCGTGCTATCAACCATAAGAGACAAAGGGCTGTTCTTAAGGACAAAGGCAGGACCTCAGCTAGCCCAGAGAAGACTAGGGTAGTCAGGGAAGGCTTCCTGGCTGAGAAGACAGGCTTGAAGGCACCTTGAAAGTCTTGCCCAGGGCCTACTGAGGAGCTTGGGGAACATGTGGATGAGAGATCAAAGTAGGGCTGGAGAGGGCAGACACTAAGGACCTTTAAATGTCAGGCCAAGAAAGGAAGGTTCAAAAGAGAGAAGAGGAGGGCTTCCATAATCCTTGCCATAATTCCATGAATTCAGTTTTAGCATTCTCAGTCTGCAGATAAGGAATTACAACTCAGAGAGGTTGAGTGATTTGCCCAAGATCACATAGCTAATGGGTAGTACAGAAAGTATTCAAACCTGCTTCTTTGATTCTGAAGCCGAAGCTCTTTCTCCTGCTTGATGCAGGTGGGTGGGATGCAAGGAGTGGATAGGAAGCCAGGATGAGGCTTTTCATGCAACCCTCCTCTGTTTCCCTCTTCGTAGATGCTGGCCTCCCTGTCTACCTGTATGAGTTTGAACACCATGCTCCTGGCATAATTGTCAAACCCCGTACTGATGGCGCAGACCATGGGGACGAGATTCACTTCATCTTCGGGAATCCCTTCTCCAAAGGTGCTAAAGCCCCACTGACACCACCTCTGGGTGGCCAGTCTCTCCATCTTGGTATGCAGACCCACTCTTCCACTGGCTGGCCACAAGGAGCTAGCCAGTGCCTAACCTGGGATGCTCTCCCAAATCAAAGTCTTCTGCCACAAAGGCAGTGGCAGGGCGGGATGTCAGCATCCTCTGCTCTGTCCCAAATGACACATCCCATTCTGCCCCCAGGCCCTTCCACAAGTGAAGAGAAAGCACTTAGCTTCCAGATGATGAAATACTGGGCCAACTTTGCCCGCACAGGGTAAGTCTGGCCCTCTGACCCTGACATATCCTGCCCAGTGCTAGATCAAGCTGGCTTATTTGCCCAGGAACTACCCGGTCAGCCTGACCAAAGTCCCTCTTCTGCCTTACTTTTCCCCAGTCAGTTACCAGATCCTATGTCTCTAGAATGGTGCCCCTCTGTCCATGACCCACATTCTTCATTCATGCAAGAGTTCCACAGTCCTTCACTATTGCTCTTTTTTGTGCCCAGCCCAGTACTCAGAGCTGGGATGCAACAATATTGCAGACACGAGCCCCTTTTCCCAGGAGCTTACCACCCCAAAACATGAAATTGCAATCTGACATACTGAGAGCTGTTCTAGGGGAGCACAAGGCACTTTGAGAATAGAGAGGAGGTGTCTGACACAGCCTGGCAGGCAGGGGAGGCCTCCTGGTGGAGGTGAAATCTGAGCTGAGTTTTGGCTAGCCTTCTGACTATTTTCCTATCTCTGCGTTCTCTCCTTTCTGTTCATCCTCCTTATGCCATTCAAGGGGTTTTTTTGAAATGGCACCTGACCAAATCACCTGCTTAAAATACTTCATGGCTTCTTTCTGCCCCCAGGACAAAGTCCCACCCCTTAGCCTGGCATGAAAGGCTTTTCAAAATCTTTCCTGTGTCATCCCTTTTCTACTTCTATTCCTTTCATGCACACTCTCTCTTTACCTAACGCTATACTTGTACTTCCTCCAAAAGCCCTGGTCTTTCACACCGCTAAGCCTGGCACATACTGTTCCCTCTGTCTGGAAAACCTGCCCCATCACACACTTTCCTACTCTTTCTTTTGTTTTTCTTTTGAGTTGGAGTCTCACTCTGTCACCCAGACTGGAGTGCAGTGGCCGCTCCCGGCCACCGCAGCCTTGACCTGCTGGGCTCCGGCGATCCTTCCGCCTCAGCCTTCCAAGTAGCTGGAACTACAGGCACGCGCTACCACGCCTGGCTAATTTTTTTTGATTTATTGTAGAGATGAGGTCTCACTGCCCAGGCGGGTCTCGAACCCACGGGCTCAGGCAATCCACTCACCTCAGCCTCCCAAAGCGCTGGGATTACAGGCTGAGCCACCGAGCCCGGCCAGCTACTATTTCTTAAAGATCTACCTAAGTATGCTCTCTGTAAAGCCCTCTGGGACCCCACCTCCTAAGGGGAAAGTAGATGAGGAAAGAGTGAGAAAAGAAGTCAGGGTAAAAAGGAACATAAACAATCCTCTCTCCTTCCTCCTGGGCAGAAACCCCAATGGTGGGAAGCTGCCTTGCTGGCCACGCTATGACAAGGATGAAAAGTACCTGCAGCTGGATTTTATCACAAGGGTTGGTGTGAAGCTCAAGGAGAAGAAGATGGCCTTTTGGATGAGACTACACCAGCCTCAAAGAACTGAGAAACAGAGGCATTTATGAGAGTGGCTATGCAGGAGGGAGTTGAAGGGTTGGCCCCACCACCCAGACCTCGGGGAGACTGGCGATGGACGCATCTGACAAGAGTCCTGCCCAACCCAATGTAGGACTTACAGGAGCTCCCTTCTGCCTCTGGGCCAGAGCTGGAGCCTTGCCTATTGTTTGGGAGCTGGTACCAACCTCTCTAGTCTGATATCCCATGATGCCCCCGTCTCATTTTCTACATCAGGTTAGGCCAGGCCCTTTCACCACCACACTGTGACTATCTCCCCAGCCTCAGGACAACTCCTTCTCTCCCACCTCCAGGTCCTCCCACCCTTCAGGATCTACTTACATATCCTTTTTCTGGGAAGTTCACCCACACTGCTATTGCCCCTGTCATTGCACCCATCTTTTAATTTACAGTCTGATATATTCAACCTCATGCCTGTTCACAGTGGCCTTGAGGTCTTGGTCAGGTTAACTGCGATATGGAACAAAGTTTTTATAGCTTGGGGCCTTCTCCCTCACCCATACCCATCTCCCCCAGGACTCCCCCAAAGTCTATACACAGAGATGGTCCTCAATAAAGATGTATTGACTTGATCTGAATTTCTCCATCTATAAAATGGTTGGATCACGTGAATGGTATCTCAACTTGAGCCCTTGTAGGAAGGGAGTGTGTTGCTGTCTGCTTCTTACTAGGCTGTGTCTGCTATGCTACACTCAGTTAAGGAGTGCTACAGCAAAGTTGACTGGACTGTAAAACACTTGGCCTTGTCAGGCGCAGTGACTCATGCCTGTAATCTCAGCACTTTGGAAGGCAGAACCACAAGGATTACCTGAGTCCAGGGATTCAAGGCCAGCCTGGGCAACTTGGTAAGACCTCGTCTATACAATAAATCAAAAAAATTAGTCAGGTGTGGTGTCACACACCTGTGGTTCCAGCTATTAGGAAGGCTGAGGCAGAAGGACCACCTGAGTCTAGCAGTTCGAGGCTGCAGTGGCCATGAGTGTGCTACTGCACTCCAGCCCAGGCGACAGAGTGAGATTCCTACTCAAAAAAACCCAAAAAACTTGGCGTTTTTTCTTCATGGTCTCAAGTGCACCACTTAGGACATCAGGACAGCCACAACCCATCACTTGTCCATCAGTTATCTCTTTGTTTTGTTTTGGTTTTTTTTGAGTTGGAGTCTCACTCTCTCACCCAGACTGGAGTGCAGTAGCTGCTCCCGGCCACCGCAACCTCGACCTGCTGGGCTCTGGCAATACTTCCACCTCAGCCTTCCAAGTAGCTGGAACTACAGGCATGTGCTACCATGTCCGGTTAATTTTTAAAAATTATTGCCAGGCTCGGTGGCTCAGCCTGTAAACCCGCGCCTTGGGAGGCTGAGGTGAGTGGATTGCCTAAGTCCACG